ATCAAGTCCTAAGCATATTTATTTGGAAAACTTATTTCTTTCTGTAAAATGGGACTGTTGTTTTTAATGTGTTTTTAGAACTGTTTTCATCTACTAGTTTTTAATAGCATATTTGTTTAATTCTTTATTGATATTGTTACAATTATTTTTAGCTCTTAATATTGTATTTTTTAATGCTGTAAGCCGTCTTGGGTCCTTTTTAGGAGAAAGGTTGGATAAAAACAAACAAACAAACAAAACAAGATACCACATGACTGACTTGAAGTTACTCTTACAATTATCCTAGGTTCCTAATGCCAATCTAGAAGTAGAGGATGCCTCTGTGTTTTTTGTTTGACCTCTGCAAAAGGCCTTATTATTGTGGCTATCTTCTGGGAGCACATAGGAGAAAACATATAACAGTATTCATGGGAAGGAATAGGAAATGAGTTACCTCACTGCTGCCTTCTCAGGCTGTGCTGGTGGATGATAAAACTACCCATGGGTTCTGCACCAATGCAAAAAAGCAGGGAGTTTTGTTCCAGTACTCTTAACAGATGTTCCATTTTGACCTCTTCAGAGTAAGCAAAATTCATCATTGTTGTCCACAGTATGTGGCATTTTACTCCCAAACGTTTTGGCCAAATAAATTCACTAACCCTAAGTGTTGGATGGGATATCAAGAAATGGAATCTTATTACCGTATGTGATGGACATGTCCTAAGAGTCAACACTTTGGGGAAGAAATATTTAAAGAAACTAGCGTTGTAACAAGTCAGACTGTAACATTATGCTGATTGTTGGGTTCGCTGTCACTGTTTCTAAACAAGAATGCAATAGTGCTGCATACATCCTTGATATTTCTTGTTATGGAGCTGGATCTTGGATAGTTTCTCAGTGGAAGACACCTGTGTATCTCTCATTCATGCAATGGTATGGTATGATGTGGCAGGTGTCACTTATGGAGTAACTGACACAGCAGATGCAGGAGCTGAAGTTGGAGAACCACAGTTTATTGAACTTCATTTTGATAGACCACATCAGCATGAACAGATCAGTGCCATAGCCACCATGAAATCATGTGGATCTATTGAAAGATCTACAGATCTAATATTATTAATCATACCATCTACAGGAGTTGTTTTCCTGCTTTGTGAGTGCACATAGAATCTCTTTGCTTAAGCTATGATATTGTGTGTTTGTTACATGTTGTGTACAATTTTTATTAAAAATTGTAAAAATTACTATTGTCTACAACAATACTATTACTATTACTATTACTAGTACTAGTACTATTACTAGTACTATTACTATTACTATTACTATTACTATTACTATTACTATTGTCATTTCTATCTGTCTGTGATGGCACTGGGAAGGAAAAAGTATATTGTGCTTGGAGCAGGAGAGAAATGATTTGGTGGTGAACAGACCCTGCATTTTGGGCTCGTGAAAGAACAACACATTTTCAACTGAAAATCCTCATTGCACAGGCAATTCTTCTCTTCTCCTTCACAGTTCTCTCTCTGTACAATGATTGGGCTTCTGTCTTACTAAGGATTGGGCTATGTATAAATTGTTTTTACCTACCAGTGAGCTCAGTACAAAACTCCAATGGTAAAAATGTAAGCCTCAATGCTGAGCCCAGGTCAACAATTCTGAAACAACAGGCCAGTCCGGCAGCTTTGTGTCACTGAAATTGGAAGGCAAATTTTTTTAAGGCTCCCCCAAGCCTGCAACCTCTATTGTGGCAGAGAAAAGGCAGCTGAGACTCTCTGCCAATTCCACTGGTCAAAACTAACACAGAAGAAAAATGGCTCCCAAAAATATGTCCTGCGGAAAAAAGCAACCAACGGAATGATCGCTGGATTTGATGTATTTACTTGCAACATGTCCATCACTTGGGAAGCTAGGATGCTGGTGGAATTAAAGGATTGAGTATTGTCAAGAAGCAGGAGATCTACTAGTGATAGAGGTGGAAGAGCAAATGTGGGGCTGAGTCAGGAACGTAAAAAATGTAGCAACAAGGCTATGGGGGCTCTGATAGGAAGAAAAGTTGCTCCTGCTGAACTGGGAAGTAGCCAGGAAGACACCGTTGGGAGTTAGGTGTGTCATGTGCCCAGAGCAATGGGAGAGATGAAGGATTTTGGCAGAAGTTAGAAAGGGTACTTTTTGGTCCACAGCTCTCAAAATCTGCTAGCTAACCTGATCCTGTATTCAAGCAACCTTTCCAGCTCCCAGGTTGAACTGGTGGAAGGGGTACAGGGTGAGACAATGGAGGACCAGAAAGAAGACAATTAGCTGTGGTAGTCTACGTGACAGATGATCATGGTAGCGAGTGGAGTTTTTATATAATGATATGGTATAATGAACAGAATGGAGAAAACAAAGTGGAGGGGGAGAATTTAAAGTCCAAGAGTAGGTACCTGTCCAACAAAATGGATTAATGGCAAAATTGTCATTGGATAGGGATTAACTACATGAGGTCAGAGTAGAGGGCACAGTTCATGTGTACAACGGTAGAGTTGTACATTATCTGCATAAATGCGGTACAGAGAGGTAAGCTTGTTTGAATCAGTCTAAATCTGGTCTGTGTCAATGTCAGATGTTTAGTCACAGATCTCTTTTGTCCCATTTCTCCATCATTTTGTGATTAAAAACTATGAAATTATAATCTATATTTCTGTACACAACTTTTCCTAATGCTTTGTGCATGCATTTTCTTAATATACCCATTTTCATGTATCATTTTCTCACACATTCATTTACAGATGCATCTTTCCAAACAAGATATGGTTTGATCTGCAGAACTGTGGAATCTAAAGGAGCACTGTGTTCTGATCTGCATGTGAGTGCAGGAAGTTAAAAATTAGGTCAGTTCATTTACACATGAGGACCAAACATAATCTTCTCCCTTCCCTTTTGAAAGTGATAGGATTTGATCATGTCACCTAGGGACACCGCATAGAGAGAGAATAGCAGAGGGCCAAGAGAAAGAACCCCATGGGACTCCAACACCGAGAAAAAGAATTTATCCCTGTGAATGGAACAATGGAATGATCAAACAGATCAAAAAAGAACAATTTGGGGACAGGATCATGGAGACCTTGAGTATAAAGGGAGTCATGCAGGACAAAATGTTCCAGTATATCAAAGACAGCAGGGAGAATTCAACAAGAATATAGATTGAACAGAGAACTCCAGATGTTGTGATGAGGAGCTGCCAATGATTCTTGCAAGCACAGTTTCAGGAGCTCCAAGGAAGAAACTAAACTGAAGCTGTTTGGAGATAGTCAAGGAGTTACGGGGGGCCGAGAGCACACATGGAGGCGGGGGAGGGGAAGGAGTTGCTGGAAATAAGTAGCGTAATCCCAAGATTATTACATGTTGAAATAGAGAGATCAGTTATCTGGGGGGCTTTCATGAGTCAGGACTCTGATTTTCCAGGTTGTTGGCTCCTGTGGGGAGTCACAATGGATAGTGGAAGTTCTCCCTCTTCACATCTGTTCCCTCCATGTGTAGGAGGATGGCAGAAGAGGTGATAAATGGGAGGGGTCAAGAGCACTGAACAAGGTCATTATGTAGTTTAGTTCCCTGTACGGTTTCATATCCGGTGATGTTTCTGTCAGGTCTGTTCAAAAAGCAATGCAAATATGCATTATGCATCCATGTGTGCAATTTAAGGTTCTTTACCACCTGAGTCAAGAGTCCTTTATTGCACCTTCTGTACTTGGACCCTCTCAGTATCTCTATCCACCAATAATTCCACGGCTGTGCCTTGATTTGAGGTGAAGATTTATAATAGTGCAATTACTATTTTTTTCTTCTTCTGTATGATCTCCAAGCCTAGGAATAATATAGCTCCTACTTTTATTAGTTTCAGCTCCAGATCACGCTTTTGACTAGGGCAGCTTACACATGATTTTTAATTCTGTTGACCTCTGCCGTTGCCCATGTTGGGGGCTAGGGTTGAGGCAGGATATGGGCTTATCTAGGCTAGGAAATGGAACGGAGACAAAACCTGCACTCTGAAAGTGGAACTCACCAGAATTTGATAGATCACTTCTTCCTTTGTATTGGTAGCAATCCAATGGTGGTTCTGGAGTGGAAATCAGCTGACGAGGGCACCCAAACGCATTCACAGTTGACACATTCAGGGAGGCTCCTTCCATACTTCCCTGATAGATCAGTGGTAGAACTGTCAAAATACCTCTGGCCAGTTGTGACTTTAATGTCCACTTAAAATTGTACAGTAGGACATTTGCCAAAATGTCGCTTATTTGCCAAAATGTCACTTTTGTATGTATGTATGTATTTCAAAAGGGCCGTGGAGTGGTATCTTCTAAAAAAGCAAAACATTGGCTTTGAGGATTGCCTCAGGATTATCATTTTGGAGCCTCAACAGAAGGGCATGATTATGCAGTTATATAGTTGCATCTTCCTATAACACTGGTGCTGAGATAAGGTCCATCACCATACTCAATTTTACAGGGCTCAGGGCCAGTTGTATGAAACATATAGGTCTAACATCCAGCACAAGGGAACTGCTGGGAACCCCAGGAGGAAAAACGGTGAGTCTGTTGCTGGTGTCCCCTGGCATCTGCTACCTGAAGCAATCACCTCAGATTGTGTTATGGTTGTTTTTCTAGACTGTAGTGAAAGTTAATGCAGCAAAAAGGCTAGACCGGGACCATCAGGTGAGACAATATTCTTAAACATCTTCACTGGCTACTTTGCTGTTTCTTTTACACAGATGAGTGGGTTGATGCCTGCTTCATAGCCAGAGTCCTCATCTGAGTTCTCTCCTACTGAGAGAATGGCTGAGAGACGGGGAAAGAATCTTCTCAATGGATGAACCAGGTTATGGAACTCCATCCTCTGGGAAGCTTATCTCACACCTTTTTACTGCCATTTATTCTTCTAGGCTTCAACATTTTCAAATGGTGATGTTTTTATTGCTGCAGCTTTTATCTGCTCTCCCCCTCCATCATTGTAAGCCTTGCTACCATTTTTGTTCTTACGTTTGTTTTACATTTTATTATGTGAGCTTCCTTCAAATACTTATATTGAGTGGTGGTAAATAAGAAGCAAGAAAACAAATACAATTTCTTTCTTTCTTCTTGTCCTATCCTGCCACTTCTGTGATGTGGTCTTTAAAACCCCCCCGCTTAAAATGGCTATTTAAAACAATGCCATCCAAGCTTCTTCTTTCCATTTGGCTTCTCTTGCCACCTTGAGTCCTTTTAAGGAGAAAAATGGGGTGAAAGTAAGTAAGTAAGTAAGTAAGTAAGTAAGTAAGGAAGGAAGGAAGGAAGGAAGGAAGGAAGGAAGGAAACAAACAAACAAACAAACAAACAAACAAACAAACAAATAAAGCAATTTTGCATATCCAAAACCCCATCAGAGATGAACAATTGCACACTGGCATTTTTTTTTATTTTTTGCAAATTTTAATAGGAGAACATAGATTGCCTTAAAACCCTGCTTATGTTTGTTGGTAGTGTATTCACTGATCCTTTTAGTATTGTATATTCATTGTTACTAACTTAAATACTGTTTTAAATAATAAATAAATAAGCGATTGAGTGAGTTGAGGGTAATACAAAGCTCTGGAGCAGATGCAAAGTGTGCTGCCCTGAGCTTCTGGATGGAATGGCAGAATAGAAACCATGATGTAGCAAATAATGGTGTTGAGAAAGAATAATTAAAAAAAAAACAACAAATTAAAAACATGCACTGGTGACAGTACTCATATTTGTAAATTGCCTTGAGAGAAGGACTTCCTTCCTTCCTTCCTTCAGAAAACACCAATGTGCACTTCATGAAAAGGGACAAAGCCAAAATAAGGGTGTGAATGTGACGCTCCCGGTGATAATTCCCTTTCTATTCTTCTTGTGAATTTCAGCCCTTTATGCCAAGCAGGAGCTTTAACTATGGCACTTCAGAGATGCTCAGGAGGAGCAATGAAGCGTGGGGGGAACAATATTGGAATGCAGAAAGCAGCTGTTGGCCTTCCCTTTCCTTTTTTCTTTTTTTCTCCCTTGGTGCTCATCCTATTGAAGCAGTAAATTTTCTATCTAATCAACAAGTTGCCATGTCATTCTAAACAAAGCAATGAAGGGGCTCCAAGCAATATATAAATCATTTCACAAGACTGGCAACTGGTAAAATTACCCAGTGTTTGCTGTTTCATTAACCAAGACAGTCTTTGATCGGTAGAATTAGAAATCTTATTTACAGTCCATGGCCTTCTGAATTTGTGCAGTTTCATAATGCACACAACAACCATGGGAGAGAAAAAAAATGCAACTTAGCTTTGATTTATGGACAGCAAAACACACTATTGTGAGTGTTTTTGTTTTCACTTTCTGCTATGCAAAGCATGATTTTCTACATCTATCTGAGTAGTAACTGAATTGACTGACTGACTAACTGACTGACTGACTGACTCCTTCCTTCCTTCCTTCCTTCCTTCCTTCCTTCCTTCCCTCCTTCCTTCCTTCCTTCCTTCCGTACCCAATGGAATATGCACAGGGCTTGGCTTTTTTTTTATTTATTTACCTGGTTTTGGTCTCTTTGGGGGCTCTTCTGGTGCCCCCCTGTTTTTGTGTGTGTACTGGTCCTTTCATTTACACAAAATAACTCTTTGGGGTTCTTTCATTTCAAGTTTTTCCACTGGTGTTTTCTGGCACTCCAAAAGTCTTCTTTAGAAGCCTTAAAATCTACTCCAGATAAGCAGAAACAAGGCAAAAGAGAATTGCTCTACTCCAAAGACAGGCAGCAGTAGAACCAACAATGATAACCACCTATACAGCCTAGTAGTACCACTGGCACAGCCACAAATTCCCCCCACCCCATCCCAGAAATAAACACAGCAGCCATCTCCCAAAATATACAGCTGTAACAGTATACAAAGTAAATTAATCAAATTTAAAATTAAAAAAATATCAATCAAACTGGGAAAGCACTCCCCCAGGAGACAATAGCAAAAAACAAAAACAAAAACAAACACACCCAACAACAACAAAAGATTTTAAAATGAAACAAACAGAAAACCTATGCATAGCCCCTTCCACCAAAAAACAAGAAAAACAAGCAAGAAGGCAAATAAAGACAAAAAATGCCAACAATGCCAGTCCCCCAACCAAAACTGCTATAATACAGGAAGATTTCTATCTTACCTTCCACTTGATGTTTTCTCTTTTCTTCTTTGAGTTCAACAGGCAATAGCAGGCAAGCCAGCAAAAACAGTCAAAATATGGAAGTGGGGACCAAAAAAAGGGGGGGTGAGGAATCCATAAAGAAATCAGGGAGGAAAGAAAAAAAATAATCCCAGTCAGGCATACTGGCACAAGCCAGCTGCCTGGCAATTTCAGCAACAGCAAAAATAATCCAAAGAAATACAAAACAAAAAATAAAAAAGCTTCCAATGAAATCAAGGCCAAAGGCCAAAAAAAGAGAAAGGATTAATCAGGGAAGCACAAAGGGGCAGGGAGGCGGCACAGTCCAAGATGGAGGACACAAAGGGCTCACACACTCACAAGGGATGACTAAACAAAGAAAAAAAAAACACTTGTCAGTGACTTCTAGCCAATCTAGACCTTTTTACAGGTTCAAGATTCCCATTCCCCCCAAATACTATGATTGGCTGCTGGGAGCAGTCCTCATGATGCTATTGGATGAAAAGGTTCCTGGGTGATTTGACAGACAAAAGGTGAAACAAAAATTTAAATGGGAAATCCTTTTTTTAAAAAAACAGAACACTTTTATGTACCACCTTTTTATTAATATAAATCATTCATATTTCAGAGGTTCTCTTTACAAATCAATGAAAGAACACAAAAGCAAAAAAGAGAGTCTGTTCCATGTCTGGAGTCTCAAATCAAAGCACAAAAGACCCATCTCTGTATAGCAGGTGCTCAAGTAATTGGATAATTATTTTGAGTAAAGTCAGCAGCATTTTAAAGACCTGGGGGGAATCTTAAAGTGACACAAAGCAAAGTTTGAGTCAAATGCTTTTTTCTGGGGAATGTATTTGTTCCTCGTAAATGGAGGTGGGGGCATCACTGAGAAGGCCCTGGACTCGTAAAAGTGTTGAGCATTGCCTTGGACAAAATTAGCACACCAAAAGGTAGGACTGACAGGATAAGAAATCAGATGCCTCAACCCAGATCCTAAAACCTAACTGTAGTCAGACAGTAGGAACATCTGATGTTGTAAGACAAGATAAAACTTGTGAACTGAGTGCATGTTTCATTGAGAAGGTATGTTAGAAACAACAAAGTACAACTCAGCTTACAATAAAAAAGCAGCATGTCCTTGTATGAGGAGTAGATAGAAATAGAAATACCTCCTCCTTTGTAAACTGTCTTTCATCTTCTATCACCTGATCCGATCTTCCTTCAACCTAGGTTAATATTCTTAGGGTCATCAATGCTACTTTCTTCCTTCTAAAATTTCTTTCTTGACTGTCTCTGAACAGGATAAAATAGTCATTTCACCTTTTTTTCTCCAGAAATGAGAACCTATGGTTCTTTAAGTAATTCCAGCTCTTACATAGCTAGAATTAGGAATCCTATTACCCCCTCCTATCTGAATATATTATATATATCTTTAATGAAACACTACTCTTTTTAAAAAATGAACTGAATTCACAAGGCAGTTTGCTACTGTTTGGTCTGCTGCCAGTGAGCCTTCTTGTTGCACAAGTCCTGACAGCAGCAAAGGACCTAAGGAAAAAAACTCTGCATTGGATGGCAGTAAATTTTCCTCTGTGACATCACAAGAGAACATCCTTTGATATCACAAAGTCCTCACCACTGACATCATCGGGAGCTAGTCTCATTTTTTTACCTGAAGTGTCAGTGGGATGGGATCCTAATGAACTGGAAACCTGGTTGAGGAAAGAAAGAAATGGGTAACCTTCAGTTCACATGCCCGTAAATCACCTATATAACTGGAATTTATAAGAATGGCTTTGCTTCATCTACTCACGTCATTCTATATTTTGAATTTTTTCCATTCTTTCAGGCCATCTCTGTTATGGTGGTTACCATATTTAGAAGATTCAATACCTTGGAGAGTTTCTAGAAAAGACCATTCTTTTGGTGCATATATGTCCACAGTGATAGACAAACATGAAAAGTAAGTATGGTTTCCAAATATGAATTCCATGTTTACTGCTAGAGATGGGGGATGGTTCTTGAAAGATTACCTCTCTGACAAGAGATTATTGTTTTCACAGTGCAGGGTCCTACTCCATCTGAATTCAGGAGAGAAACATCACCATCCTACAATGTGAGGAGAGCCCTCATTCATATTAGTCTCTTTAAAACACTTACCCAGAGGAAGAAGGGGAGGAGGAAGCAAAGACAGCAGTAGGAGTGGTGAAGATAACAGCCGTAGAACCCACATCACCTACATGCCACTAAAGAAACCCAGAATTGTTTTTACTGAGCATTATACTGTGTTTCCCAAAAAATAAGACAGGGTCTTATATTAATTTTTGCTCCAGAAAATGCAGTAGGGATTATTTTCAGGGGATGTTTTATTTTTTTCATGTAAAACAATCTACATTTATTCAAATACAGTCATGTCATCTTCTGGTTGCTGTACAGTGGTGGAGGGTGGGCTTTCATTTAACTAGAGCTTATTTTTGTGGTAGGGCTTATATTATGAGCATCCTGAAAAACCTCACTAGGGCTTATTTTCAGGTTGGGTCTTATTTTGGGGGGAACAGGGTACCAGATAATATAGATAAGACAAAGAACTACCTAGTTATAGATATAGTCACTGCAGCCAGAATTCTTTATGCTAAGAACTGGAAGAAATCAGAGATACCAAAACAAGAGGAACTCACTGAGAAGATATGGGAAGCGGCAGAAATGGATATTCTATCAGAAGTGTTGAAAGACTGTCCAATACAAAAGGCAACTGAATGATGGGATTTATTATGTAACTAGCTTGAGTCATCAGATAGTGGTTGAATAACATAGAATTAAACTAAGATGTAACGGTAAGTTGAAACCTGGAGGGCAATCAAATTGTAGAAAGGCGAAAAGTTGACGATATCGCAATATGAGCAAACATATTGGATGTTTCCCCCATATCCCCCTCTACCTTTTGTATTCCTTACCTTATCCCTAGTTTAAAAAAAAAAAGAATTGGGGGAGCAGCCTTTGGCTGAAAAGAGTCCTAGCTGCTCTGTGATATCTTTCTAGCCTGGTTTCCTTTTGAACAGCTATTTCAAAAATGTCTTATTTCTTGGGGAGCGGGGAGAGATTTGGGGTCAAGAAACCATAATAAAGTCAATAACTGGACGTGTCATCATAGATCAGCAGCAGTCATTGTGGAGCAATGGCTGCTATGCCTCTTCTTCCATGGCCTATAGTGGGTGCGCTCACTGTTCTTGCTGTCTTCATCTTCCTCTAAGCCAGGGGTGTCCAACCTTTCACCTTCCCTGGGCCACATTAAAAGATGAAAATTTGGTTTGGGCCACACATAAATTTGGTTTGGGCTGCATGGGGGGGCAGCCCTAGCCGTCCTCCGCAGCCCTGCTCCAAGCGCGCTTACTGGCAGCTGCAATCTCAGACAGCAGAGGCTGCCAGCTTTGACTCCGGTGGGTTTATGGGGCCGGGAGGGGGTCCACCTATTGACGGGGACGGCGCAATGCAGTCACGCAGCCCCCCTCTCCCCTCCCTTCTGCTCCTTCCTTCCCTCTCTCCCCCCCAACCTTTGTGACATGCCCCAGCCACATTCCGGCCGCAAGCACTGGCAGTGTAACTTGAAACTTTGGAATTTCTTTAAAAATAAAAAGTTGCACTGGGCCGCATTATGAGCCGACCTGGGCTGCATGCGGCCCTCAGGCCGCAGGTTGGACAAGCCTGCTCTAAGCCATCTCTGCCCTCACCCCCCCTCCTAGCCTTCTGGTAACAGGTTGCTCTGCTGACAGCCAGTGAGAAATGGGAGCAGTTCCATTTCTGCCCACACGATCATCGCTCTATTACCAGAGGCAATTGCTTCACCAGGGCTAATGACAGGGCCAGCCCTGTATCTCATGTGTCAAAGTAACTTGGATGGCTTCAAGTAATAGGCACCCATACCTAGATGGATGGATGGAAGCATGATTTATGCTTTACCTTGGTCAGGAACATATTTTGGAGTGCCCCAACATTTACATAGCCTACAGAGTCATGTTAGACATTGGGCAAGTGTCTCTGAAGAAGGCTAAAGAGGTGATAAAATAGTTTGCTTTCTGATGGAGGATATTGCTAAGCCACTCTACCCTTTGTTGTCAGGGACAATGAACCCCAATCTCATACTGACCAGAGTTAGCCATAATTGGTCTCTCTAAGGAGTTAGCCAGCAGTCACAATTAATCTGTGGACTTCTTTATGAAAGATCTCTGAATCATCCATTTGTTGCTTTGTATTCATATAGTCATGGACGGCTCATGACAACAGCAGCCATAATTGATTACCTTAGATAGCCTAGAGACAGGTAGTCATACTGAACAGAGGTGAAGGTAGTATGATGCAGCTGCCATTATCCATAGCATATGTACTCAGTTCTTTTGTCCTCCTGTCCTCTGGACACATTTTACAGATTTAGAAGCATTACAAAAGTGCTGCAAAGTCTGTAAGGTTGGACAATGGGGGAGGAGCATGCACACTTCTCTGTCCTAACCTTCAGCTGCATTCACCACCATTTTCTCTTGTAATGAAAGAAAACTTGAACCAATTGGAATCCAGTTGCTTTCCCCTCCTCATATATAGCATCACAATTATAGAGATAGAAGGAATCTTAAGGGTCTGTCTAGTTCAATCCTCCGTGATGTTAGTAATCCAAAGCTGCCACAGCCATCTAGCTTCTGTTTGAACACCTGCAATGAACCACACTCCACCACTTCCCAAGACAGTTCATTCAAATGTCAAACAGCTCTAACTGCCCATAATGTCCCCCTATTCTTTATCTGAAATGTCCTTAGTTGTAATCCATATTCCACAGAAAATGCATGTTATCTCTAACAAAGGGAAATTATGGAGTTTATTTTTGTGACCCCACTCATACCCACTCATAACTCTTTCAAGGTCTCTGCCTCCTTGCATGTGTGATCTTCTAAGACAGTGGCAGATGTCCTCTGAGGAGCTGCTCTTATATTTTAGTCCTGAGTTGCATATATTAAAGAAGTCAGCACTGTAGAAAGAAAGTGCAATGGGAGAAATAGCATAAAACAACACAGAGTTTGTTCCTTTAAGAATCTTATATAAGCCGGTGCATCGCCTAAAAACACATTTAAATTTGAAGACAAGTTACAGTCTATTACATGAAATAAATCAAGTCTGCATAAAAGATGCATAGGCTGACATTTCCCTGTAAGATTAGTATTTGCATGACAAAAGCCAGCAGCAGTGGCAAAAATAAATAACTTTGCCAAATGGGTGTCAGGGGGAATATATGTATATGTGTGTGTATGTATATGTGTAAATACAAAACATAACAATTTTAGACAAAGGCAGAATTTCTCTCCCATCATTGACTTTTCCATTACCTATCTCAGTTAAAATGTTCCATCCAAGAGCAAAATATTTGATCATCGTTTTTCTTCTCTCTATTCAATAGACCAAAGCACTATTACTGATCATACCTCAATATCTTAGTTTGGTTGGAAGTGTGTGCACTACTAATTCCTCCATTTTTGCCTCTATGAAAGTAAATTCTCTCAATCTTATTTGGAATTTCTAGTGGTGTTCCATTCTAACTAGAGTTGTTCAAATTTGTCTCAGATTTCATTTGATACAACATTTATTCCCGATAAGATGGGCAGTTGCCTCTCCTGGGTTAAAAGGAAAAGAATCATGTAAGAAGCCTGAATCCTCAAAAAAAAATGTATCTCAAAAATGCCTGTAGGTAATTCATCTCAGTCTAAAGCCAGCCTAAAGGTTTTGCCTCAGCTGAACTTTCGTAACTTTAATTTTAAGTATTCATTGTGGGCACTCCACATGAAATAAAACTGCATGGGGGAAAATCCCAAGTTTCCAGAAAGACCAAAAAACAAAAATTCACATTTTTAGCATAGCAAAAGAAATGCTTATAAATTGCAAATGCCTAATTCAAGTGGGATTTTTTTCCTTTCAATTGCTAGGTGGCAAAGGGACCACTCCCATTTTTCTGGATAAAAAAAAAAGTGAGCAAACTCACATTGGTTGAGGAAATCAAAAATGGAAGAAAAAGAAAGGAGGAAAATAAAATAAGAAGGCTCCAAATGTTGCTCGGGAATCGCTTTCTTACGTGGTTTGGTATACAGTCACCTTCAAGGAGAGAAAAACTCAACACTATCTTTCCCCCAGTCTTTGCCAGTGTACTTGACTAAATTGAAATCTCTTCACCCATGATCAAGCTAATTACCTTATTCAGAGTAAACTCATACCCAGTTAGTAAATCATTCACCTCCAATCCTTCAGGTGGGATGCTTAGACAAGGCTTAGAAAAGATTGGGAATTCTGAGCCTAAATATACAAGGAGCTACGTTTGGCTGCAATTGAGTAAAACAGAATGTTTATGGCAATCTGACTATATATATATAGTATATATATTTATACACAGAGAGAGAGAGAGAGAGAGAGAGAGAGAGAGAGAGAGAGGGATCCCCTTCCCAACCTTTTCTTTTCTGGGAAGCACTGTGGGAGTAGGGTGTGTAACCTCTGGTTTGAGTATGACATCAGGCAATTAAAAAAAGAAAATTTAAATACAACATCATTTTTTGAGGAAAAATTATGCAGGTCTTTTACCACAGTCCTGTCTTGATACTGCAAAAATTGTGTGTGGGGGGGTAATTCAGGAAAAGAAACTTGTTTGTGCCACACACAGTACTGGGCTGAATTGGCACATGAATTTGAACACGATAGGTCAAAGACTTGTTCTTATTGCAGCCACAAGTCGCACCAAAGAATCCCGTACATTATTGTTCCCCATTTTTTAAATTAAAAAAGTCTTTACATCTCTGCAAGTGGACAACTAAGCACTGCCTTGCCGGCCCCCTGTTACAAGTAAGGAGGTGAAAATGCTGTTAAAGAATCTAAAGAGAGGCAAGACCCTGGGCAATAATAGCATCCCATGTGACTTATTCTTTGATAATTCATATTGACAGATCATGATACTAGCTGCTCTATTGGTTTTTATTATGACCATAGATCAGCCATGCTAGATATGCAAGACTGAAAGCGGCCTTATTTACTTCTACAGATAGATATGAGAAATTTCCCTCAGAATGGGCTGAAATAATTGTGGTACCTATTTACTAGTAAGAGGTTCATAAGATCCTAGGAATTATTGCCCGATAAGCCTTCTAGACATCAGCAAATTGTACATAAGAAAACTTTTGGGCAAACTCGAAAATTGGGTTTCTTCAGAGAACCTCTTGGCAGGGGATCTTATAACTTCCGAAGA